CTATTTTTTAAACATATATTGTGAAAATATTAAACAATAACGTTAACTATATTACAAAAAATAGATTTTTTGATAAATGTTATATTTTGAATTTTTATAAACAACTATAAATTAATAAAACATTTAAAAATTTAACATATATTATTTTTGATAAGTAGTTTAGATCTCCTATATTTTAATACTTGAGCATTACAACATTTTTTGGTAGCCACGTGTCACAATGAGAATGATTTTCATAACTCTTCGAAAAATATGTTGGTCCAACTAAACATATGTTATATTTTTATTATACTAACTAATAACTATCATATTTAATTAGTAGTGTACAAAATAATATTTTATATTTGTTTAGATAAAAGCTACGGAATTACCTAATATGATTAACATATTATCACAATTAATGTTTATGAATACTAAAGATTTGATAACATTTTTTATCATCTTTACTTTTATTAATTTTATATTATTAAAAGAAATTACACAATCACATTAATCATATAATTAAAAAATTAGATTTTTTCTTATATGTTATATTTGAATTTTTTAAAACAATCATAAATTACTAAAAATTGTAAAGATCTCACATTGAAAATTTTCTGATCAATGATAACGTTTTTTAGTTCAGCCAATCCTTTTTATAATGGGTCTTAAACAGTTTATAATGATTAACTAAATGGATTGCGCATAATAGAGTGTGTTTTGTTTAAAAATTATTGCATACCCTAAATCAATATGAACCATCATCTCTTTCGTTTCAATTTTTGTTACAATGAAAAAAATATATGGTTGGGCAAAAAACTGAATCCAAATAAACGAACCAAATCTAATCCAAAAAGTATTAAAAAAACTTAACCAAATTTGGTTAGATATCCAAACAGATTCAAAATTTTGGTATCTAGGAAACCAAAACTGAATCGAAATATCTCGGGTATCCGACTGTACTCGAACCAGATTTATATACTTAAATATATTAATTATTTTTAAATTTAACATCTAAGAATATACAAAATACATGAGGTTTTTTTAAAAAAATTTCCACATTACTTAGAAATATATAAAATAGTTAAATGTAAAATTTTAAAATAGCTAAACGAGACTCCAAATACCAAAACTATTTGAAATATTTATTGATTTTTGGTCCAAATATTTAAGAAAACCAGTTTTATGTTAATTTTAAGTATTTTGGCATTCATTTTTCAAATTTATATGTTATATTTTATTTTTACTTTTAGATTTTGAAAAATTTAAAGTATATATAAATTTCAATCTTTTAAAAAAAATTAAATAGGTTATCCAAACATAAACTCAATCCGAACCTGCAAAGATTCTAACCAAACTTCAAAGCTCTAAACCAAATAGAATTTAACCGAACCAAATGGTACCTAAATTCCATTCCCAATCAAATGTAAAAAAGGTTATTGATAACAAAAAAAATGTATTTATACGAAATATTTTTTAAAAGCTCACCCCGCGCATGGCGCGGGTTATCATCTAGTGACTTAATAATCAGCTAAACCATCTCTTGATCTACCTAAATTATTAAAATATTGAGCAAAGGAAGTAGATGAAAAAAGTGTTTGACCTTGTTTCCTATTACTTTCTATGTAAAATCTATGTTTGTTACGTATGACTTATGCACATGAGTTCGGATCTTAAGTAGAATCCAAATCTCGAAATAAAATTTCTTTTCCTATTTCAGTTCTTTCAAGACATAATTTATATTTTTAAATTTAAATTTTCTTTGTGCAACTATCTTTTGATTTGTCCAAAAAGTTTATCTATTTTTTCTAAGATGTTATTTACTATTGATATTTGATCATCAATTTTCAGCATGTGGAAAAAAATCGAAAGCACCGGATTAACCATAAGTTCTTCACTGTTGCCAGGATCTTCGATCTTAGTGATTAAAGTAATTTATTTGAGTGGGGAGACGAGAGAGGGGGAGAGAGCTTTGAGAGATGAAGAGATGAGAGGAGCTGTTTGTGAGGAATATGGAGGTGACGAGGAAAACTTGGGAGCCAGAACTGCGGGTTATGAGAGTGGTGTGGGGTTTGGAGGAGGAACGGTGGTCCTCGCAGGGGCTTTTGACGGTGGGGATGTTGAGAGATGCGAAAGCTTTGATCTGTTGTGGGCCTAATGGGGAAGAGGAGGTGTGTGGAATGGGATAGATGGTTGGAGAAGGAGTTGATAGAGGAAGGATTGTTGACATTGATTCTCTCTGTCGCAAGCTTGATCTCTGTTTACGGAATGTTCATTAGATGGTAAGTCTTTTTATTTCGATCTAAGAATCGAGTTCTTCAATAGTATATTATATCATGAAACATGAGTCTTTGAGAGAATTACTTTCTCCAAAATTCAATTCAGTTCCAAGTGAAAATTACTTCTATCTATGAGTGCAGGTTAGTCCCAGTGAATCTACATAACTACAAAACAAAACAAAAAAATTATATAACTTGATAGTTGGTGTTGTTTGTAAATGTCAAGAGTCATGGGAACATACGGATATTGTGCTCCTGGCTATGCTATCACTACAAAAAAAGTCTACATTGATAGCACATTGTTATAGCACGTTTTACTGAACTGCTATCGTAGATGATTTAGAAATTTCAGTATTATATAATAGCATTAAATAAACGCTATGAAAGAGAAAAACCTAAAATAGCACTTAATTAATGCTATTTTAAGAATTACGTGAGCGGGAAAATAAAATCACCAGTTTCGCTAATACTTAGCGGGAATTTAGATATAAGCGCCAAAAATATTATTTAAGCGGCTTAATAAAACTATGAAAGACTTATAATAGCATTTTTATAATGCCAAGGAAAGCTATTTAACCCCTAAACATGATTTTAAACCCTAAACTTTAAACACAACCCTTAAAACTCTAATCTTTTCTTATTATAACTTCAAATCTTAAAATTACACTTAAATTTAATCTTTTAATTTTAAACTATAATTTCCTAAACACATATTCTTAGTTTTTAATCAATCTCTGTATCCTAAATCATTACTTCAAATATAAACTATACATTTTGTGTAAAATACAATTACAAAATTTTAAACCCTAAACCCTAAAAAACTCTTTATTTTCCAAAATTTAACTTTAAAAACTTAAATTATAATGTCAAAATTTAACTTTAGAACATAAATCTAAACTCCAAATATACACTCCAAACCATAAACTCTAAACCTAAACTCTATACCCCAAATCATAAACTACACATCAAACTCTATATCATAAATCCTAACCTCATATTCCAACATCTAAACCCTATTTCTCAAACTCCAAACAACATATTCCAAATTAAACGTCAATCTTAAAGTCAAAATGATTAAACCTCAAACTTTTAAAAAATGTTGTAATTATTATAAAACACTTTAATTTAGACTAAACTTTAAACTTTATAATGACTTGTAGTTTTTAAATCTTTTTTTTTTTTACTTTAGTCCCATATTTTAAATCTATTTTTTTTAAAAAAAAAAAATCAGCCTCAAATCCTAAATCCAAACCCCAAATAATAGACACTTCAATCCTTAAATTTAATTTTTACATTTTAGAAATCTTAATCCTAAACACTAAGTTCATAATATATATTAACCAATATAATTCAAATCAAAAATATTAGTCCTTGAACTTTATACTTTTAATCATAAAATATCAATTAACTAAAACTATAAATTAAGTTTTGATAAAATTTAATTAGAAAACATTATATAACACAGAAAAAATAAAACAAAAATAAAAATTGGTTGCATCATTTCTGTCCATTGGATTAGAGTCAATCTAGTGGACAGAATCTCTTCCTTCTTATTTTTATCTTCTTGATTTTCATTGGTTAATTAAATGTTGGTGAGGATAGCCAAATTTTAACTACAACCGATGATACCATCTAATCCAACGGATAAGAATGTTTTGCTTTTTGTTCCTTGTTCTTCTCTTTCGGTCCTCTCCTCTCATCTTTCTATCTTTTACAAAATCACAAGATTAACAAGAATCAAACAGAGCTTGAGTCGAGTCAGATTCAACCCTCTAATCGGATTTGAGAAAAAACTGAGATGGTGAGTTAAGTAAAAAACAGAATGGTGAGTGAGAGGTTCATAACCGGTAACGGTTTTGTGATGAATTTATCATGGCGTTGACTACGCCACCACCTCCGCCGCATCGTCACCGCCAACCTGTTCTCCTCCACGTATCCAATAAAAACTGAAGTCTCCTTCTTCTGACCTTAAATTTAGCTCCCGACTCTGGTCATTGTTGGCTTCACTTCCTCACCACCACCACCACAGGTCAACCCACTTCGCCTTCCTCTTATCTATGCTCTCACGTTATCTTTATCTTCTTATATATTTGTAATTGGTTTTGGTTGTTTACAGATCTGAGATGGAGCAGTGATGAAACAGAAAAGAGTAGTGGTGTGACAGAGATCTCCGGTTAAGCGTGGTGCGGTGGTGGTGAAAAGCTGGTGGTGTGTTGGTGGTTCGTGGATGGTGGCTGAAGCTTGACGGTGGCGATGGTGGCTGAAGCGTCTATTAGGTTTAGATTTAGGTTTAGTTAATCAATTGATTTAGTTAGGTTTAGATTAATTAATTGGTTTAGTTAGGATTAGAGTAATATATTTATGTATTTATGGTTTAGTTTTGTAAACCGTGATTTATTGTAAAATAATTTTTATTCATAAATAAAATTAATTTTATTTTTATTTATATATAAAATAATTTTATTTTTAATTATAAAAAATCAATTTTATTTTTAATTATATTTATTTTTGGTTTATCTTGGAAGCACCTATTATAATAGCACGAAAATAGTGCTAATAGTTAAGTTAATAATATCATCCAATTATTGCTATCATATCTGTATATTTCGTAGCATTCATAAAATGCTATCGTAGAAGGGGTATCTATGATTGCTGCCGTATACATAGCATTTATGAAAACGCTATCAAACATCTAATATAGCATATAACCCGCGCTAACAATGTACATATTTCTTGTAGTGTATGACGGGTCAGTTCACGTTTAGATCCGATATATACAGTTTTGGAGTAGTCCTTCTGGAGCTCATCACTAGAATGAAAACAATTGATAGTACAAAAGAGCGTAAAGATCAAAACTTGGTCGGATGGGTATATTCTTCTGTCTCTTGATATTATCTCTCAATGAATTCTTGGCAGAGATAAAACACTAATTTTTCTCTTTCTTACAGGCATGACCTTTGTTCAAAAACAAGAGGAACTTCCCGAAAATGGTTGATCCATTGATTCAGGGACAATACCCTGTTAGAGGACTCTACCAAGCACTTGCAGCAATGTGCGTTCAAGAGCAGCCAAACATGAGGCATGTTATATCAGACGTAGTCTTGGCTCTCAACTTCTTCTAATTATGATCCGAATAGTCCTAGCAGCAGTAGCTGGAAATGATGAAGAGAAAAGACCAGATCTACTCAAGGAAACAAAATCTGAACTGTCACCCTAGGATAGGGAATGGTAAGAAGAAAATCAAATCTAGATTTTTTTTGGCTGCACTAAGAAAATGAGTGAATAAATAAATATAAAACCAAATCAGTCACATTTTTAACATCTATTTGTGGATGTACATCTTGACTCTGCTTCTGTTGTATGTAGCATGGTTCTTTGTTGCTGTAGAACAACAAACCATTTTGTTTTGGGACATATATATTATATTTCTTCAGATTAAACCATGATGGTGGTGTTGATGATGATGCAACTTACTTAGCATAGGTTCTCTGTTTCTCTGATGATGATGCAACCTAAGTTCAGGTGGTTGTTAATGAACTTAAGGTACATCCTGCTAAATAAGTCACCAAAGTACTGCATAATTTCAAACTCGGTTGTTAGAATTGTTGCCCGGTTGATACTTATTACCCATCAGTTCAATAACTTAGGTTGTCATAATTTACACCGACCTCTTTATTCAAACTCAGAAACATCATGTGTGCGCCTTCAGACAAATGGAGATATGGACCTGACCATGAGGAACCAATCCCCAAAACCCTATTCGATACCATTCGACAGACCCACAAATACAAGGTGAAGGATACAGAGTAAAACTTCATCGCTAAAAGGCAGGCCATTACTATCACTTGTAGAGAATATATGTATGAGGGTCTTTTAGTCTTTGTATAATACCTAGAATACATCATGTACAGAGTATAAATACTGTATCATACGCTCTAATAATATTCATTCAAACCAATACATTCTATATGGTATCAGAGCTGTGATACCTAGGGATCTCTTTATTTTTTTTATAAGCCGCCACCCAAATTACAAACATCGACTTCTTCTTCTCCAAACTCCATTGATGTCTACCTCACCAGCTTCTTCCCATGAAACCATCCTCCTCTCCGATTCACCAAAACTCCTCCATGTTAACATGACTAACGTCACCAAACTGACGTCCTCAAACTTCTTGATGTGGAGCCGCCAAGTTCACGCCTTATTGGATGGATACGATCTCGCTGGTTACATTAACGGCTCTGTCGTCCAACCACCTCCAACCATCACTACGGATGGTGTTCTCTCCACCAATCCGGAGTTTACTATCTGGCATCGTCAAGACCAATTGGTCTACAGCTCTCTTCTTGGAGCTATCACGGTTTCAATTCAGCCGATTCTCTCCACCGCCGCGACGTCCGCACAGATCTGGGAAACGCTTTCAGCTACCTACGCGAAGCCTAGCCGTGCACACATCAAGCAACTGCGACAACAAGTCAAGACATGGAAAAAGGGAACTATGTCGATTGATGCTTATCTTCAGGGCTTCACAACCCGGTTTGATCAGCTGGCGATTCTCGGGAAACCTTATGAACTTGAGGACCAGATCGACTATGTGCTTGAAGGTTTGCCGGAAGAGTATAAGCAAGTCACGGATCAGATTGAGAGCCGTGAAACACCTCCCTCGATCACTGAGATTCATGAAAAGCTACTCAATTATGAAGTAAAGCTTCAGACCAAGAACCTCAAGCCACCAGCTCTCCCTGTCACAGAAAATGCAGCTCAGTTTCGAGGCAACTCCACGAGCAACAACCGAACTCCTCACTCAGGCCAGAGTCGCAACACCAGCGATCACAACTACCGGGGTCATCAGACTTGGCAACAACAGCAAAACTTCTCGCCTCGTCCGGATCAACAGCCTCGTGGTTATCAAGGGAAATGCCAATTGTGTGGAGCATACGGACACAGCGCACGTCGTTGCTCTCAGCTGCCAGGATCGTCTCCTGTTTCACAGCCGCCATCTCGCTACTCTACACCATCACCTACGTCGTGGCAACCCAGAGCTAACATGGCCATACCGCAGACTTATAATCCTAATCATTGGATTCTCGACAGTGGCGCGACGCATCACCTAACGACTGATCTGAACAACCTTTCTTTACACCAGCCATACACTGGAGGAGAGGAAGTCACCATTGCTGACGGGTCCACCATTCCCATCTCGCATACTGGTTCCGCTTCCCTACCCACACCTACTCGCTCTTACTCTTTAAATGATGTCCTTTATGTTCCAAATTTACAGAAAAACCTTATCTCCGTATATCGTCTTTGTAATGCTAATAATGTTTCTGTTGAATTCTTTCCTGCCCATTTTCAGGTGAAGGATTTGAGCACGGGGGACCGGTTGCTCCAAGGCAAAACTAAAGACGAGTTGTACGAGTGGCCAGTCACATCCCGCAACACCATTACCCTCTTCGCCTCACCTACATCAAAAACCTCCATTGCTCACTGGCACTCGCGCTTGGGACACCCATCTTTTTCTACTTTACAAACTCTTGTTTCGCATTTTTCTTTACCTGTTACTGCTGCTTCTCATAAACTCTCACCTTGTTCCCATTGCTTTATTAATAAAAGTCATAAACTTCCCTTTTACACAAACTCTATCTCCTCTACACAACCACTTCAATACCTCTATACCGATGTCTGGACTTCTCCAGTTCTTTCCATTGATCACTACAAATACTATCTTATCTTTGTTGATCATTTCACCCGATACACATGGCTTTATCCCTTGAAACAAAAATCCCAAGTGCGAGATGTCTTTACCTGTTTTAAAACCCTTGTTGAGAAACATTTTGACCTCCCTATCCGCAACCTATACTCCGATAACGGCGGAGAATTCATAGCGCTTCATCAAGATCTTGCGACTCATGGGATATCTCACTTCACCTCCCCACCACATACTCCTGAACATAATGGCATCGCTGAGCGCAAACATCGACACATTGTCGAAACATGACTAACCTTACTTCATCAAGCGTCGATTCCCACCGAGTACTGGACGTATGCCTTTGCGGTCGCTGTTTACTTGATTAATCGGCAACCCTCATCCGTCTTCAATAAAGACTGACCTTACGCAGCTCTATTCTGCAAGCCTCCTAACTACTTGAAGCTTCGCATTTTTGGGTGGGCTTGCTACCCCTGGCTAAGACCATATGCAGCTCACAAGTTAGACTCGCGATCCTTACGATGTGTCTTCCTTGGCTATTCTTTGACGCAAAGTGCGTACCTTTGTCTTCACCAACAAACTGGTCGCATTTACACTTCTCGGCATGTCACATTTGACGAGTCTGATTACCCTTTTCAGAAACCCATCACTCCACCTTCTCCCCTTGTAGAAGAGACCTCCCTGCCAACCTACTCTCCACCCACCATCATACCCGTCTCGCAACCACCACTCGTACACTCGCCTTCGGTTCCTCCCCCGCGCACAGATCCTCGCCATCAGCAGCCTCCGACTGCATCCGTTCCTGGTTCTGTTCCTGCAGAACAGGGGCGTGATATGGGCTTAGGACAGTCTTCAACAGGAACATCTTCAGCAGCACAAACGACTCTGCCCCAAACACAAACCAGTGAACCAGAAAGAACCCAACCTGCAACACAACCAACGACCATCACACATCCTTCTCCTCCAGACCCGCCAAATGCCCACCCTATGCGCACCCCCTCAAAGAACAACATTACTAAACCCACCAAAAAAGCTTACTCTACTTTCCACCACTACCAAACCTCACATCCCAATTCCCACTACCATACACCAGGCCATGCGAGATGAGAATTGGCGCCGGTCTATGAGCATTGAGTATGATGCGCAAATTGCGAATCACACATTTGAATTGGTTCCCCCAGCGCCGAATCAAAATGTTATTAGCTCTAAATGGGTTCATACACTTAAATATCTCTCTGATGGTACTCTTGACAGGTACAAATCCAGGTGGGTTGCGCGTGGCCATCATCAAGAGTATGGAGTCGACTACGCGGAGACATTCAGTCCGGTTGTGAAGTCTGTCACCATTCGGGTTGTCCTACATCTCGCAATCACAAGGTCTTGGCCCATCAAGCAACTTGATGTCAACAACGCTTTTCTTCACGGGACTCTAAATGAAGAAGTGTACGTCTCACAACCGCCGGGTTTTGTTGATCCAGACCGTCCAGATCATGTATGTCGTCTAAATAAGGCATTATATGGTCTCAAGCAAGCTCCTAGGGCTTGGTATCAAGAACTCAAGTTGTTTCTCACAAAAATGGGGTGCCATAATTCTGTTGCTGACACTTCCGCCTTCATTTATCTTTACCGTGAGCATGTTCTCTACATCCTGGTGTACGTAGACGACATTCTAATCACAGGCAGCAGCTCCTCCCTGGTCGAAGCGTGTATACATGTGCTCGCTTCTCGTTTCTCGCTCAAGACACCCACTGATCTCCACTTCTTCCTCGGAATAGAGGTTACACGGACCAGTCAAGGTCTTCACATGATGCAGAAACAATACATTGTTGATCTCCTTACGAAGCTTCATATGCTCGACGCTAAACTGGTATCATCACCACAGGCGACATCACCTAAGCTCTCATTATATTCAGGTACTCCTCTTGATAACCCAAAAGAGTACAGGATGGTGATTGGAAGCTTACAGTATCTGTCTTACACTCGACCGGACATAGCATATAGTGTGAATCGATTATCTCAGTTTATGCATCGTCCGACTGACGTTCATTGGGCTGCAGCGAAGCGCATTCTCAGATATCTTGCAGGCACACTCTCTCATGGCATCTTCCTCAGCAGGAGCTCACCTCTACACCTTCATGCTTTCTCCGACGCTGATTGGGCAGGTGACACAGACGATTTCGTCTCTACTAACGCCTATATCGTTTACCTTGGTAGGACGCCTATTGCTTGGTCATCCAAGAAACAGAATGGTGTTGCACGCTCGTCTACGGAGGCTGAGTATCGCTCAGTTGCAAATACAGCTGCAGAACTGAGCTGGATTTCCTCGTTACTTCACGAACTTGGTGTCACCATGCCATCCACACCTACGGTTTACTGCGACAATGTTGGCGCTACGTATTTGAGTGCAAATCCTGT